ACAGGTAGTTTATTATTTTTTTAAAAAACTTTTTTTGAATTTATAGAACTTTTCAGTTGCTATTACATTTTTATTAGGTGAATAAAATAATATCCATATGTGTATTTGTCAGTTTTTAATTTTCTTTAAGTTTCTACTATATAAACTTTTCAACTATAGTTTTTTTGTTGAATTAGGCATAGTTATTGAAATTTTATAAATTATTTTTTATTTTCTTTGTAGTTTTGAAATTTTAAAGAATATAAAGATGTAAAGTAAGTAAGAAAATAATGTCAAAACTGTTCCTTTTTTTATCTGATATCATTTATTATGGGTAACTACTGTCTTATTATTTATCCTGCATTATTCTTCATTGATCTTTGACATAATTTTTAAGTTCACAATTTTGATGGACCATAACAAAAACACTTCCCAATTCTTTTAGAGCATAAAGTTTACCCCAAGTATAATGTACTGAGGGCAATTTAATTTGCCGATTCCAACGATTTTTATTTTTTATTTTCAGATCCATCATATAATACAATTTTTTTACAAATTTGGCAAAATGTGGATAAATCCAAGAAAACAGAATCAATCTTTGAGTAAATACTGAGTCAATTTGATCTCCACGATGCTCCTAAAGAAATATTAGAAAGACTGCCAGTTTACTCTCATTTAAAATGTCAAAAATGTGGGAGCGTATTCACCGCACAGAAAAAAGACTGGTTGGAACAAAATATAAATTTAGAAGAAACTGTTATCAATTATTATCAAGAAAAAGGCAATTCATGTCCTGATAGTTCTTCCGGCTTACTTAGAGGCAGACCTAAGAAAGAATTTGCAGCGTTGTGTGAAAAAGATATGACAATGCTTCTGACATTTGGCCCAGAGCTTGCTATATGGAGAAAAAATGTAAAAAGGCAAAGCAAAATCAGTTCAGACATTAATGAATATATAATAGAGATTATATATTCGTATATAATATAGATTATTACAATAATCAAATAGACATTAGTTTCGATATAAGTTTACATTCCGACGAATCCACAAACGATTCAGACTCTGAATAAAGAAATGATTTAATAATTTCATAGAAAATGATAAAATATTATTATTCTATGGCAATATTACTATAAGTATACTGGTAAATTATACTTAGTTTTTTTTCTAGTTTTCATTTTAGAACAAAAACTAAGTATAATTTACTAGTATACTATTACTACATTATATGTTACAGTTATATTATATTTTATAATATTGTTATTCTTGATAACATTACCTCCTATATTATTTCTATTAATATTACAATTAATATTGTTATAGTTGTATAGTACACATTATTATACTATTGTTACCTTGTTTTGAGTTGAAAGCAATTAATAAAAATGTTTATTTGAAAATAACTAGTGGTTAATGATTTTTGTCCATTATCCCCACTACTTGGTTACACTGTGCGTCGGTATCCTTTTTTTAGAAATAATATAATTTAATTTTTATGATCACTTACAGTTATTTTGATTTTCAGAAATGTGCAAATATTCAAACATCGAAGTGTTACGGGATTGCCGCTCTAATGTTTCATTCCCATGTGCGGCCGGGAAGGCATATATCCGGGTTATTAAATGTTAAATAAAAAGTTTAAAATGCATTTTTGAAAGCTAAGATCTAACAGGATGACACAAAATAGTATTTTAAACAAATTTAAGGAAAAAACAAAATCTGTTTTTCTGAACATCTTTTTAAATTTCGGGATCCCCCATCTGTTAGAAATGCTCAAACTAGGTCCTGCAGTTAAATGGTTAATGTCTCTTTCATTAAAAACAAAAACATGAAGGAATTTTTCATTTGCCATAAAATTACTAATAAATAATTTATTTTGTTATTAAATGTATCAAACGCAAAAACTGCATTGTCAGAGATTTAGTAATGAGAAGGAGACCTAATGTAGAAATTTTAGTGCAAAATTGTAAAAAAGATTTATTTTAGTGAAAAATTGCCAAATAGATCTAATTTAGTACAAAATTTCAAAACAGATCCTATAAGATTTTGTATTTTAAATCTACTACTCAAGATAGGTTTAAATCTGTTGAGAACTCTGTTTTTCCTTTAATTGCAAAAAAAAAAGGATAAATCCTAAAAATTCGAGCACTAATTATTATTAATTATATCAGTTTGTTCAGGAAAGAGTATCAGCCGAAGCTGAATAATTGTAAAAGTAAAACAGGAGAGAATTTGGATGTAGAAGAAGAGGTGATGAATAGGTGGACTGAGCACTTCTCGGAGTTGTTGAATATTGGTCTGGAGGAGGAGGATGTCGAGAATGAAGAACAGTGTCAGGTGTGGCAACCACAACTAGTTGATGAGCCTCACAGAGAGGATATCGAGTTTGCCATCATGGACTTGAGAAGAACTGTAAAGCCCCCAGTGAAAACAGGATAATTGCGGAATTGATTAAATGCTGCAGTGGTAAAATGAAGGTCATGATATATGAGTTAATCTGTGATGTATGGAGTGAGGAAAAGATGCCAGATAACTGGAGGATTGGATTAATAGGCCCTATTCTTAAAAACAGCAGCAAGGATCAGTGCACAAATTATAGAGGAATAGCCTTGTTGGGATTCCTATATAAACTGCTTTCTAGTTTAATATTAAAGAGACTGCAAAAATGCGCTGAGAAAATTTTAGATGATCACCAATGTGGTTTTAGAAATGACTGTGGTATTACAGATCAAATTTTTGTAATAAGACAAATGATGGAAAAATGCGATGAATATGATGTTGATCTGCACTTATTATTCATTAGCTACAAGCAGACATTTGATAGCATCAAGAAATCATCACTGTTAATAATGCTAATGAAAAATAGAGTGCCACATAAACTAATTAATTTAATACGAATGACCATGGAAAATGCATTATCCAAAGTTCTTATTGGAAATAAAGTTGGTCGATTGTTCAAGGTACAATCTGAGTGCGTCAAGGAGATGCCTTATTGGCAGCACTATTCAGCATCCTGCTGTGAAAGATACAGCTAAAAAAGCCACTATTCTTGATATGACCTGGCAAATTTGTGCCTATGATAATATACGAAAATGGCAACAAAGTAGGGCTTGTGTTCAATGAAAATAAAACTAAATACCTAAAACTGTCCTCAGCAGTATCAGTTCCTACAGCAAAATTAAAATAAGGAATTTAAGGTTTGAAAATCTACCTACATTTGTGTATCTAGGTTCTGACCTAAATAATGAAAATGTAATCAGCAGAGAAATCAATAACAGAATAATGGCTGGTAATAGAGCATACTATGCAAACCTAATACTTCTTAAGTCTCCATTGTTGTCAAAAGCAACAAAATTAAAGCTGTATAAAATGCTTATTAGACCAGTAGTCACCTATGGAGCGGAAACCTGGTGTTTATCGCAAGAGGATTGCCGTAAAGTAAAAGTAATCGAAAAGAAAATAATAAGAAGGATTTACGGTGCTACAAGTGTTAATGGTGAGTGGAAAATCAAAAGTAGCAATGAAATCGAGGCTATATTAGAGAACCAAAATGTTACTAACTATATCGAGGCAAGTAGGCTGAGATGGGCAGGGCATGTGGTCAGAATGGAGAATGGACGGGTACAGAAGAAAATATTGGAAGCGCATTTCAGTTGGAAGAGGAAAAGAGGAAGACCGAGAAGCAGATTAAGGATAAGGTGGAGAGAGACACGAGGAAGTTAGGAGTTCACAATTGGAAGAGAGAAGTAGAAGTCGAAAAGAGTAACTCAGGAGGCCAAGGACCATGATGGCCTGTAGCGCCGGAGAGTTAGTTTGTTTTACTTAAATATATTTATTTATTCTATTTGTTAGATTGTAAACTCCCTCTGTATTTTTCTGACAATAATAGTTATGAATAAATCAATGAAATAAATATAATATAAAAGTGCATGTATAATAAATTAGTAAAGCACAGTAAAACCGATTCAAGAAAATTATTGAAAGAAGCTAGTCAACTGTTCTACATATCGTGGGTGATAAATATTCAGGACGCAGTCTTTAAAAAAAATTTCAGGAACTGACATATTTGGTAGGTAAGTCAAGATGACCCACATGTTTGGGTAGAAACGTTGGCACAAATAAATTTTTTTTTTAAAAAGACTGCGTCCTGAATATTTATCACCCACGATTCAAGAAAAATTAACTAATCTTTTAGAAAAGACAATTGTGAGATTTTTTCTGAAATAAGAAAATAAATCTAATTAAACAATTGAAATCAAAATGTGTTCATCAAAAGAAATGTGAATTTGATAATTCCAATATTTTTTTTTTTTTGAATGAGTATCATTTTTGATGCCTTTGGATCATGAGTAGTTAAGTTAGGAGAGTTGGCTAAGTGGTGCAGCTGCATATCCACTTTAGAAAAAATAAATTACAAATTTTTGAGAAATTGAAAGACAGCAACAGTTGGCTGATAACATTTCAACATATTGTAAGAAACTAATCCCAAAAATAAGACATCAATAAGAAAACAAATTAGATTTAAAAATTGCCCTTCATATTGGGGAAATTTATTTGAGTAATTAATTTATTTATCAACACTCTTGCTCTTTATATGAACTTATACCAAAAGAAGAAATTTATCATAATAGTTCGATATCACCGGAATTTTTTTTCGTTTCTGACTCAATTTATATAACAAATTTATACCACTCTCCGGGAAGTTACTTTAAATTTCTTTTACTTATTACATGAATTCTTCGCAAATTATTAAGTTTATTACACCTGCTCAACAATATAGATATAAAAATGTATAATCTAGGACAATATCTAAATAAATCAATATTTTTTTATCCATTCTTGGTTGACTTGGTAAAAAAATATGATGTTTGACTTGGTTGAATGATAAAAAAATATGATGTAGAGATGGTAGACCGTGATATAATATGAGGAGTTGATCGGGGGGTGCGGTCAAATAAATACTAAATTATACAAATAGTATTATTTGTATAATTAATTGATAAAAAATATATATATCCAAGAACATTTCATAAAAATTTTAATTATTTAAGAATCATAAATACTTTTTTCTTCAGATATACAATTTTAAAAGTAATTTAATTTTTAAGTCTTAATACTTTTAGCTTAATTTAATAGAAAATTCTTATCTATGAATAATTTAAAAATAACACTTTTATTTCTAACAAAGACACAGTTGAAGATATATTAAAAATATAAACGCTTACAAAGCTTCGAGCAGAGTTCAATGACCAGAAATATTATAGTAAAAATGGAATATCACTATCACCTATCATCTTATATAAAAAGAATTAAGTACAAAAATAAAATTACCTTTAAAAAATAAGCCTATTTTTAAATATATATACTATCTTCTGCAAACTTACAATTAAAAACATTTTTCTATCACGTAAAATATTGAATAAGGCTATAAAATCAATAAAAATAAAATAAAACGCTTAACTTAAGCAACGTGCCTTATTTAAAAAATCACAATGAATAGGAACAAGATGAATTAAAGCTAATGTTTTCTGCCATGACGATGACTTTTTGAATTGCTAGCCGGTTTTCCAACTTCCATTTTGCCTTCTTTTAATTCATTCTTGTGAGGACTACTATTCACTACCTTTTCCGCTTCAAGGAAGAACATAACATCCCTAAGTTGATCTTTCAAATCTGTCACCTCATCTTCTTTCTTCGATTTATATTTCTCAAATTCCTTTTCTAAAACATTATACTTATCTTGCCAAAGAGTTTGGTTTGTTCGCATGGCATTATTCAGTTCCTTTTCTTCTTGAAGTTGTTTATAAGCAGATGTTAATTTCGATGACATAGTTTGCAATTTCTTTTCTAGATTAGCTTTTTCTTTAGATAAAATATTGACATTATCGGTAAGTGACTTAGTTTGCTCAAGTGAATTTTGAACTTTATCTTTTAAAGCAGATATTTCATCATATGTTCTCTTTTCAAGATCACTCACAACCTTTTCATAATACATTCTCTGAGATTCCAATTGAGAGCTTAATAAATAAGTATATTCTAATTGAACATTTTCTAACTTTGCTTCAAGTTCAGATGATTTGTTTTGACTAGGTCCCTCAACAAGCTTTCCATCTGCCTTATTCTGTAGGAGGCGATGAACAAAATTGTCACCTACATAGTCCCAGACACTGTTACTACCTACCTGCATAGAATAGCAGTGTTGAGTATCTATATAATGCTGGTAAGCATGTCCTTGCAGGTATCTACCACAACCAACATGTCCACAAATTAGGCATATCCACAACGACTCAGTAGCCATACATTCAAGGCAATGACTATCACTATTCGGTTCGGGAGTTTGTACATATCTACAAACCGGGCAGCTTGTATCACCCCACTTCGCAAGACAGTTTCCATGAAAAGCATGATTACACAAAATAGTTAAAATACCATCTACTGATTCATCCATCCTCTCCAGACAAACCGGACATGTTGGCAGCTCTGTATGTGAAACAGGAGCAATACTTCCTCCTTCTATTTCAGATATTGTTTCTACTTTTGAAACGAATACAAGGTGACAACACCAATCAGGATCCATACTAGTAAAAGGAATACCATTAAAATTTTGATAGAACATTTGCACTGATTCAGGTGATCGAAAAGTTATCAGTGACATATATTGGTTGGGTGAACTATCTCGAATAATTCTAATATGTTTTATCTCTTCTTTGCAAGGTTCTAGAAATCTTAAAAGTTCACTACAGTTCATAGTCACAGGGATAGCGAGAATGCACAAAGTTTGGCTTCTGAAAGATGCCCTATCAATATTAGTTAGTTCATTTTCTTTGAACAAATGTATAATACCATGTGTCTTTTCCACATAAGGATTTCCTGAAACAAACTGTAATACTTCCTTGGCAGCTTTCCCTTCGATTATTGTTTTTATAGGAACCCTTTCGACAGTAGCATTTGAACATACTGGTTTTGCAATATTCTCAACTCCTTCAGCCATTGAACTGTTTAAAATGCACAATGTTTGTATGTCAATATTTCTGGCTTTCCTTCGGCCTCTTAGCAAAGGTATTGTCTTACGAGCGTTTAAGTCAGAAGAACCTTCATTTTTTTGCAAATCATTAGTCAGGCTAGTTTCAATTCTAACAACACATAATGAAACATCAACAGAGGGCATAGCGCAAATTAAAACGCATAAGGTCTCGAAACAAACCTAAAACCGTTAATTTATAAAATAAATTATAATTTAAGTTTACTAATTGGATCAAAACAATGAAAGAGTAATTGGCAACTTATATAACCTCTCATTTACCTTTCTAAAAACAGAATCAGCTGTTTCCAGTGTAGCCAAAAGTAATGATTAATTTTAGAACAATAAGTATTTAGAAATGAGAATAATTGAATCAAAGTTAAAATAAAACTGTATTCAAAGTAAATGTTCCAGAAACTGAAGGACAAGTATTACTTATTTTGCTGAACACCCTTGTATTTTGTTCGTCTCCATCTTCAATAAGATAATATTTTTTTATAAGCCAATACAAATAAATAATACAAGACAAATTTCAAGATGTTTCTTTTATTTGATACTGTTCTCGTACTTCTAACGAAAGTTTCTATGCTCTTGGTTGCTGTTTTTGTTTTAACTTTAGTATTAACAATGTTATGTGCACTTTTCACAAAATAAATTATCTTATTTGTTTAGTTAAATATTATTAATCTTAAAAACAATTTTCTTATTCAAGCATTAAGCTTAATCCAAAAGCAGCACCCCTCTCCCCAGTGAATCCGTTAGTGTCTTCAACTGATAAAAATTAGTATAACATATAACAAATGAGATTTTTAATATATTTCTGCTACTAGTTTGTTCATTTTTTAAATTTATTTATTTGTTCTTCCTCTCTTGCCTTCCGACAATACGGGATTATAATTATATTGCTTAATGAAGAGAAGAATAGTTGGGGTGGTCAGTCAAAAAGGAAGGCAAAAATAAATGATAATATTTATTTTTATATAGTTTCGACCTGAAGTTCAGGGCTGTCTCCTTAAGTGTTGCAGGGAGAATTATATATTGCTTAATATCAGAGTTTATGTTTGGACATAAACATCAAGCCAAAGTTATATTAAGCAGTCTAGTTCCAAATTGAATTTATTTTGCATGAAAAATGTTTTCCCACTAGATTTGATATCTCGCCAATAGTGCATCCGAATAAGTATCAAAAAGGTGGTGAAATCGTGACCTACATTCTACCACAAGAGCCGCAAGGAGGAAGTCCTTATCGGCTTGAAGAATGGCCAAACTGCACTCACACATTATCGCTAGCACTTAAGAAATGTTGGGGTGGCCAAGATTAGAGCAAAATACATAAAAAAGCCCAGACACCATTTTATAACCTGTAATACACTTGCGAATCTAGGATTTAATTTTAGGAAATTTTAGCTCGAAAGGTTTTTTAATATACAGGGTGTTTCGTAATTGTACGGCACTATTTTATGTGTTCACTAACACCAAATAAACAAAAAAGTTCATATTAACATATATCTCAAACTCATTTATTAAACAGATATCAAAGGTTAAAGATTTATTATTTATTTACTATATTTAGACTGGCTGTACAAAGTTTAACGTGTTTAATAATAAATAACATGTTTTAATCACCTGATAAACAAATGAACGCTAAGCAATGACAGTAGTTGTTTGTCTAGTTCTGTGTGTTGTAGTAGTGTAGTGTCACTGATTATTTAAATGCAACTCATGGAGACCGATGGGTTGGTCGAAACGGACCTGTTAAATGGTCACCACGATCTCCGGATTTGACGTCATTAGATTATTTTGTATGGGGCTAGATGAAGTCTATAGTCTATTCTGCGGCAGTTGGCACTCAAGAAGGGCTAAGAAATCGGAATGTAGAAACCGGAGTAACTATCAAGCACCATCCGGATGCTATACGAAGAACCAGAGAAGCATGGATTCGTCGCGATGAATGTTGCATTCAACAAAACGGAGGCCCCTTCGAAAATTTACTCTAAATGTTGTAATAATAATTAATAAATAGTAATAATAAATCTTTAACCTTTGTTTAATAAATGAGTTTGAGATATATGATAATACGAACTTTTTTGTTTATATTGTTTTAGTGAACACATACCTAAAATAGTGCCGTGCAATTACGAAACATCCTATAGAAAGAGTCCTAACTATTTATATGAAATGATGTTTAAGTGATTCTTGAAGTCCTATTAAATGTAATAAAACGAACAATAATACTTTTAGAGATAATGTTTTTTGTTTTTTTCATAAGAAAAGATTGTATTTTACCATTTGGGGGGGGGGGGTTCAATCCTAAAGCTTCCTCCCTCCCTGTAGATCCACCTGTGCTGTAATATAATATAATTATTATTGTACAGTTAATTGAACTCTTTTGAAAATGATTTATTAAATAAAGGTCGAAGAAATATTGTAAATCCAGTGAATTTTTGAAGTAAAAATTTGATCTCTGTTCATGAAACGTTGGGAGGGCACAAACTCCTTGCTCACTTCCCTTCGGTACCGGTTGGTATGCACTTTTTTTTTTTTTTTTTTTTTTTTTTTTTTTTTTTTTTTTTTTTTTTTTTTTTTTTTTTTTTTTTTAGGAATTCTCACGATACAGTAACACCTACAATAATGAGACTGACCATTACTCTTAATGATAAATAAGAGCAGTAATATACAGAGTGTATCGTAATAATAATAATAATAAGGCTTAGCGAACCCGAAGGTTCGATGCCGACACCACCAATCGCTTGTTACACACCTCCCTCCACCGTTCGCCGTCCAAACCCAGTCCCTTCAGATCGGCTTTAATGCAATCTTCCCACCTTCGCTTCGGTCTACCCCTCGGACGCTTACCATTCGGCACAGCAAATATTAACCTTTTAGGAATTCTCTCGTTATTAAGCCCAACAACTTTACAAGCCCATTTGATTCGCCGCGATGAAATTACCTCAATTATATTACCCGGATACATCTCACGCAATTCGGCGTTGTGTAACCGTCTAAACTCTCCGGTTAACTCATCCTTCTTCGATCCGAATATTCTACGCAATACTTTATTTTCAAAAACCTTAAGACGCTGCTCATCCCTTAATGTAAGCGGCCAAGTTTCGCATCCATAAAGAACTGTAGGCAAGATAATTGTTTTATAGATTCTAATTTTTAAGTTTCGGGACAAGAGGCGCGAACTAAGTAGTTTTGTCACAGAAAAATAACAAGCATTTCCCGCTTTCAGTCTAACCTTAATCTCTTCTTCAATTAATAATAAATAATCTCTTCTTCTTAATCTCTTCTTCAATAAATCTTTAACATTTGATATATGTTTAATAAATGAGTTTGAAATATATGATAATACAAACTTTTTTGTTTATTTTTTTTTAGTGAACACATACCTAAAATAGTGCCGTGCAATTACGAAACACCCTATAGAAAGAGTCCTAACTATTTATATGAAATGATGTTTAAGTGATTCTTGAAGTCCTATTAAATGTAATAAAACGAACAATAATACTTTTAGATATAATGTTTTTTTTTTCATAAGAAAAGATTATATTTTACCATTTGGGAGGGGTTCAGTCCTAAAGCTTCCTCCCTCCCTGTAGATCCACCTGTGCTGTAATATAATATAATTATTATTGTACAGTTAATTGAACTCTTTTGAAAATGATTTATTAAATAAAGGTCGAAGAAATATTGTAAATCCAGTGAATTTTTGAAGTGAAAATTTGATCTCTGTTCATAAAACGTTGGGAGGGCACAAACTCCTTGCTCCGACACCCCTTCGGTACCGGTTGGTATGCACTAACATTTTTTTTTTTTTTTTTTTTTTTTTTTTTTTTTTTTTTTTTTTTTTTTTTTTTTTTTTTTTTTTTTTTTTTTTTTTTGAATTCTCACGATACACTAACGATTAAAATTATGAGACTGACCTCAACATTGTCCATTCCTCTGAATGATAATGAAGCTTTCATTGGAATTGGTAGTCTATAGCAGTTTCTCCGAATTATTTGATTATCTGAAGGTTTTACGGCTCTTTAAAAAAAGAACTATTTCGATAAATAAGAGCAGTAATATACAAAGTGTATCGTAAGTAAAGAAAAATATTTAAAAGAATGATAGATCTTAATATTTATTAAAAAAAAAAATGTTGCAAATTATTACACAATGGTTTATTATTTCATAACAATTATATATCATATGTAACATTACTATTCTTGTAACATAAAGGAAAATAAATAGAGTATGATTTCTAAAATTGGCCTAAATATTTTTTTTTTTTCATCATTAGGAGTTTGTTAAGAAAAATAGGCAACATTGCTTCAGTTTATGTAACACTTTCCAAAAATCAAAAACTAAAACAAAGGATATAAGCTTTGAAATAGAACATATAAAAAATATTTAAAACGCCATATCTTTGCACCAAATTGTCCGATTTAAACGATGTTTTTAGGAAGTTTTGTAAACTTTCAAATAACCATAAAATAACAACAACAAAAAATGTATACTTTTTGAGTTATTCGGAAATCTACTTTTACCTCCCCTCGTACATTTTTTTTCACCTTCTTTTTGTTAAAGTATTTTAAATGAATACATTTAAAGGGCATCGAAGAGAAGATTTGAGCCAAGTTTCATTGAAATCGGTACATTCGTTTAGGCGCTACAGTCTTTACCAACACAGGTTTTTCAGCCGCCATCTTGAAAGGAATGGGCTGTTGGTATTGTCAAGGTAGAAAGATCATCCGCGAGTGTCCTCTGACTTTGATTTCAAATTTGAAAAAAATGTCTTGTATTATCGGCGAAAAGCCGCGGAAGGTGTACGGCGTTTTTATTTTAGTAAAAAAAGAGAGAAGATTAGCACCCCTTGACAAGGATGGAGTATACAAACCTAGGCATAGTAACACAGTCAATCCTACCAATTTTGAGGGGCGGGGTGGCCGAGCGGGTTAATGAGTTGCCCGGCAACCTGGATCAACGATAATTAGACAAAATAATTACGAGTTTGCGTCGCGGTGCCCGGGAGGGGAGAGCTTTTAATTCTGGACATTATTCTCCTATCCTCATCCCATGACCCGGGAAAATCCCGTATTGTCTAAAAAGGACAGGAAGGAGGGGACACAAAAAAATTATCAAACATTTCTTTACACATATTATTCACCGCCTGTCTAAATGTTTGTAAAATTATTTGTCAATATAATCTAGCCGATTTTTTTTTCTTTTTGAGAGAGGTTCCTTCTCCCTCTCCTAAAACATTTAGTCAACTAAGCTTATGAATATAACATCT